TAGTGATTATGGATTCGAGCAATCACACATGGAAACTGACCGCTGCATTGCTGACTTCTGGTATGATCCAGATTCACCACCTGAAGACTGCCACCTAGGACAGACCTACATGTCCAGCACTGGGTCTGTTCTTGTTGATTTTACGTTTTCTCCAACCCAGCTCCAGCTCTGTCTCAAGTTCACACCTACCAGCATTGTTATTCACTCTCTAATCTTGCTTTCAGTAAGAGTGCACGCCTGACTTCACACTCTGTCCTCTGCTGTGTTTCAGCTACAGGAAGATGATATCTAACTCATGTGAAGGGGAGCCAAACAAGCAGCAGAGCTCTAAAAAGCACAGCTGCCCCCTGCTCGCGCCTAAAGGATTACGAGTTGGCATAAAAGGGCAGATGCTGGCTGTGGCACCTGGGGATGACATCACATTCACTGTCCACCAGGAGCAGGTAGGACAAAAGTTGTTTTCTTTTTACTTTTTCCTCATTTATTCAGTTTCAGTTTGTTGAACATTATCTTTCTTTAACAGGGTGACACCAGCAGCACCAAGTATCAGGTGGATCTTGGTGATGGGGTACGGACAATTTACCAGAACCTGACTGTGACTGATGAACCCATCCAGCACCGTTATGAAAATCCAGGCATTTACAAGGTCAAAGTGAAGGCTGAGAATATGGCTGGACACGATGAGGCTACCATGTACATCCAGGTCACAGGTTGGGTTTCCTGGTGAACTTCCTTGTCTTTCAATTAGACAGCCTCTAAAATGTATTTTCTTTCTTGGAGGTGGAGTTTTTGCTGATGTCTCATCACTGAAGCTCACACTGCCTGTCACAAACATCTATACTCATTTGTCCTGAATTTCTATTAATACCTAGCAGGGAAAAAACATGATGAAATCATCTTTTGCCAGTTGGTTCGCTCCTCTCAGATCTGTCTAGCTTTGCCAAATATGGTGGAGACCGTTCTGAATCTCACTTCATTTTTCACTTCTTATTTGTCAGTTAGAAATGTTCTAATTCTACTGACACGAACTTTAATATTTAACATGGTAGCTGAGGCCTGTAGAGTCTGACCCTTTCTTATTATTTTAATAGAATTTCATTTCTTGTAGCCCCACTACAGGAAGTACACCTAGAAGTGGTTCCCATTGCTGGGAGAAACCATGAGGTCAATCTCACTGCTACTGTCCTTCCCAGTGAGGCCAACCTGACTGTCTTTTACTGGTGGATAGGAGACAGCATGCAGGTAAAGGAAAAACTTCAATTGTCATTCATTTATAAATTCATTTCTAACTGTAAAATCTGTGGAATTCCATTAAAATTGCGTTAGTTCAGCTAAGTAACTAAGGATTGAATACAGAGTGGTGTACAAACAAACGTGAAAAGTGGTGATTAAGAGGAAGAAACAGTGTGTCATGAGAAGCACTCCCCAGCACTTTAGGCCTGATGCTGGAAACTAAACTAAAACTTCATCAAAAAAAGAAATCTCTAAGACTGATCTAAACTGAGAGCTGGTTCCATAGAAGAGGGACCTGCAAGCTGAAGGCTCTGCCTCCCATTCTACGTTTAAATACCGTAGCAACAACAAAAAACCCAGCAAACAATAATAAATAATAGCAGCAGCAGACTACATGGTGCCTAAGCCAAGTTGCTGTATAATGAGGCCAAAGAATCACCTAATTGTCAACTGGGTTTGACAATTGGTATGAGGTGTTTGTGCTGAAATGTTTGGTTTTTATGTATTATGCATTATGGCCAAACATATGCACTTTAGTCACATATGTCCAAAAAACACAGTTGCTGAAGTGTTGTAGTTTGTTCAGATAAAATTTTGCAAAGATAATGAGTGCTGCTGTGTTCTTTCTAGAAAGAGGCTTTCTCCTGGGAACCCTTCCAGACACACTGTACTTGTTCAGTCTTTTTCTAAATCTTGAATTTAACATGGTAGCTGAGGCCTGTAGAGTCTGAGATGTAGTTCTTGGATTGTTTTTGTTGCTTGGTTGGTTGTTTTGGTGGTTTTCGCACTTTCTCTGAGCATTGCACTGTAACCTTGGGGTGAATTTCCCAAGATCTCTACTTCCCAAGAATGTCTTGAATTTATTCCACTTCTTCCTCCAGACTAGAAAACTGCCAAAAAAATCTGATTTTGTGGCCGTGGTTAGGTTCCCGAATTAAATTAATGACGTGCATTTAATTAGCAGCCCCCCGTGGCTACTTATCTTTTTAATTCCCAAGGAACTAGTAAGGGTGTACTTAAATTTGACACTCTGATTGTGCATTTTGGATAAGGTTTTGTTCAATAAACAATGACACAGCATTATAGGAAATGTTTTGTACTTTGCCTGAAGTTTTATTTATTTAATTTTAAGACCTGGTAAAGAACAGATGATTTTTATTATGTTCTGATATGTATAAACTTTTCAGTTTCTTTTTACAGTGACAAAGAGACCAAAATTTGTGTAGCTGCTAAGTATTAACTAGTTACATTGTGCACTGCCTTCTTGCTATTGGTTGCTGGACCCAGAGTACAATATGGGGGGTTTCTTGTTAGGGTTCCTCGCTTGGAACAATTGCAATACCAATTTTAATTTAAGCTATGAGCAAATTTGTGGCCCAGTGACTATAGCAATGAATTAAAATAGTCTCAAAATGTATTATGCACAGCAGGTTTCATATTGAATAGGTTTATTAAATAAACCCAAAAATGTTCTGAATATTTCTGACCTCCAGACCTCCATTTTTTTGTTTTTCCAGATGTTCCACATGTTTTTATCACTAATACTGTGAATTTTTCCTGCAGCCCATCCTGACTCTGCAGAACAACCTTCTGACTCGTTTCCCAGGAACAGGCAAAGTCTCAGTCACGGTACAGGCCACAAACAGCCGATCCATGGTGCAGGACACAAGAACTGTCCGAGTTTACGGTAACGTATGTTTGTATGTGCTAAGAGGTGAAGAGAAAGAGGTTATTATATCAAAGGTTCTGAGAAAGTTACATTTGTCTGTTGGCCAAAATAGAATTACAATATTCATTTTAATTCAATTCTTCAATTCAATTTTATTTATACAGCGGCAAATCACAACAACAGTCATTTCAAGGCACTATTGTCAGAAAAACCCAACCCCATATGACCCCCTACGAGCAAGCTCAGGGTGGGGCGGTTATCTGCCACGATTGGTTGGGGAGAGAGAAGGAGGACAGGATCAAAGACATGTTGTGGAAGTGAGCCAGAGATTACAGTATTTTTTTCGAGTGGTTAAACACATTTCTCGAAACTATGCCTCGTATTCTCAAAACAGTAAACACAAATCCATAACGTCTCACCCAATTTCCCAAACATCGTATTTTCAGGTCAAAATGAAGCTCTACACTCAAAACTTGCTGAAAAAACAAATTTTGCCCACAGACATAACACACAAGGCCTCAAACACACACACTACAACATTGGTGCAATAAATTAAAAACAATATTTTCCAGAACTGGCAAGTCATGGTTCTTCCCCTCAAAAACCTTTTCACATGATGAAGACAAAAGACACAACCAATGCGTCTCCTTTTGGTCAGGTTAAAACCTGACTAACACAATAGAGTTACCCTGAACCACAGTTTAAGAGTGCACAAATGGCAGCATAAACTATCATGCTGTGATGTAACACAATACTTCATACAATATCAGAACTCACTTGTTGGTTTTTCACTCTTTCAGACTATCATTCAAAAGAACCAATGTATGCCAGTTTCATCTGGAATTGGTTCTTTCGGAGGATGTGGTCAATATGGAGAGGCTAATGGCATTTATCCCTCGAAAATTATGATAATTCTCAATCAATCTCCTCCTCGCAGGGGGATTACATTAGTGGCATCTTCCATGTTTACAAGCTCCCTCTCTTGCTCCTCTGACAATTTAATCGGCCTCCACCAGGTGGTCCCCTCTGTGTCCTACAAAAAAATAGAAGCACTCATTTACTGTAACTGTCAAATAACCTTTTTCAGGACAAAAATGGAAACATACTGAAACTCAAAAAACTTGAGTTCAGTAACTCAAAAGTTACTGAAGTTACTGTACAGAACAGTCTTACACCTACCTGTTTTCCTCCCTGAAGGTTCTGATGATGGAGGCAACAGTGAAGCGACTCAAATTTGGCTGTACTCGTTGCCCAGCCTCCCTCATAGTCATACCATAAACAAGGACACAGTCAACTAAAGTGGCTCGAAATTCATCCAAGACCGCTTGTCTCCTTGCCCTAGCTCTTCCCCTTCCTTGTCGCTGTTGTCCTAGACCTCCTTCTCCTCTGCCTCCTCCTCCTCCACCTCCTCTTCCCTGATGTCCTAGACCTCCTTCGCCTCCTCCTCCTCGACCTTTCAGACCCGGATGAGCTGACTTTGGCCCTCAAAGTTTCTGATTGGTGTGTGATACATTTTGACTCTTAGTGTTTCCACTAATTGAGTTCAAGCTGTGCTGACTTAAGTCAACATCATTGAATGCTAGTGCTTTCAAAATGACTACATGGCGTAAGCACTGAAAATCAAAGGGATTTGTGTGTACAGTTTTCCAATAACAGTTCACCAAATCTGACTCATGTATTAAAGCAGGGTATTTCCCTGCACTAAATTCCCCTGTGTTTATAGTTCAGGGGAATGGGTGTGCTTTTTGAAAAATAGCATTATGGTTTTGAAATTTGAGTTCAAAAGATAGTGTTTTAAGCAATCGAGAAAAACTGTAATAACAAGTATGTTTCAGTGCAGAGAGGTCATTCATTCTTGCTAACATAAACAATGCTGTTAGCTTAAATTTAATGCACATGTTCATTCTTTCTTTTGGATAAAGGTAGTTAAGAAAAATCTGAAAAAAATTGAATTCAGATCTTTGTCCTACTGTAGGCTTTTTCTCATAGCTTTCAACCACATCTCGGCTTCTACTGTTGAGAGTGAGCTTTCAACATTCTTAAATTTTTCAGTCAGAGTTCGGATAGTAAAGTCAAAACTTAAAAGCTATTCCTGGTCTAAGAGTCACTGAGACAAACAGAGACAAATTTGCTGCCTGTTATTGTAGGGTCTGCCTTACAATATAAAACGCCTTGAGGTGACTGTTGTTGAGATTTGGCGCTGTACAAATAAAATTGAATTGACATTTTTCCATCTTTGGAAAATATTGTATGATCTCATGATTTTATTGCTGGGGTATCAGAGTTAGCAAGTTAGAATTCATTTGACAAAGAGATGTGCTTGTTTTATTTATAAGCAAGCTTTAATATTTGAAGATAGAGGGAGTTTATTTTAGTTTAACTCGGATTTTTTTACTGTCTGAACTCAAGTACATTTTAACTAGCTTTTTGCTTTGGTTTCATTATGTTGCTCAAATTATTTTGTGATTTTTGTACACAGTTTTATACATATTTGAAATGCTGCTTCTCAACAAGCTACACTACTTCTATTAGTTCATGCAAAAAAATACACATATGGATAGGCAGACTGATTTCTTTACCACATATGTTCCCACCAAGGTGTTACACATCAGTCCAAACAGCGTAATGTGTAGGTATTTGCAATTTCTTTTTAATTTTATTTATTTGCTAAAATAATATTTTAGGTTTTATTTGATCAATTTAAATCATAGCCATGATGCTTGTTGACTGCTCCTGCAGATAACTTCCAAGTCATCCCTCTGAGCTTCAGCAGAAACCTAGACAGATTCAATCCAAATATCCCAGAGTGGAGAGATGACATTGGCCAGGTGGTCACCAAAATACTGGCTAAGGTAGGTCTTTAAAGAGAATGGATGGTAGTGTCACGCAACCTAACTTCTTGTCTTTTCATAGCGCACAGTCCAGTCTAATGTCTGGTACTCCTATAAAAATACAAAACATAAAAGTATTACTGTTAGATAATGATAGTCCATGTTATAATCACATAATAATAATATAATCATAGTTAGCATGCTAACCTTTGCTGATTAACACTAAACACTGTAGGATATGAATTATACAGTTATTGGATTAGTGCAGATTTAAGACATGACTGGCATTTTCATCTTGTGGCCCCAGATTACAGGTGTACCTCAGAATTCCCTAGTTACTGTGGTCAAACCAGGTCTCCCCACCTCTGCCAACCTGTATGTTCTCCCACTGGACACCAAACCAGCCAAGAGAAGCTTGTTTGTAGATAAGGTATGTGATCACTGATAATAAACATATCCAATGCCTGAACACGGGTGGTGGCATGTTTTACTCTGTGGAGACACAGACTAGCAAGTTTGTTTTTTATAAGTAACATCAGTTACATTTAATACACTTAATCTCATCTTTAGCGTATTCCAGCCATCATTCAGGTCTTCAACGACAACAACGTCAGCTTTGTGATACGAGGAGGCCTACAGGTGCTCGTGATGCTAGCTGACCCAAATGCAGGTATATTTTGGTACATGTATTTTGCACTTCAGTACATATTAAGTGAAGTTTGTAAATGTATACAGTATTTTAAATGATAATTGCATTCTATTGGTTTATTTCCAAGAACTAGGTTATATTACTAAAGACTCAACAGTTACAGAGGCAGAGAATGGTGCGTTGATAAATAATATACCTGCTTTCTCTATAAATGCAATTAGCATCACCAGCTTAGTCTTTGGTTTGACTCCTGGGCCTTTCTTTTTCCTGCATCCGGGTCTGTTGGTGTTGTGCTCTGCTGTGTTTTCACCTTTTGTCCTTTGATTGTAGAAATGTGATGCATTCTTTACTGTGTGCTCATCAATCCAGGCTACCATGGAGCAGCTGGAAGTGCCGGTGTTTGGACTCTAGCTGTCATTTTCCTCATTGGTCTTATTGCTACTGGCGCCTTTATCCTCTATAAGTTCAAAAGGTGAGTCATGTATTTTACAGTGCTGTCACCTTAACGACGTAGGCACAAAAAAACCTGACAAAGAATGGAAATCAAACGTTGAAAGAAAAACTCATGAGGTGAGCTCTAAAGTCAGTAGTTTTGTACAGTAACATAATATTTGTAATATTGCCTCTGTGCACCACTGCAGTGGATTGTAAATGAAACAATTAAGATGTAATTGAAATGCAGACTTTCAGCTTCACAAGCTAGGTGAGGGCTATTCTTTCATTATTCCATGATAAATTAAGCAGAATGCTACTTACAAGCAGTAACTGAAGGCAGCTGAACTAAAGTCTAAGTGGAGTATCTCAAGAGATACACCACACAGCATCTGGTGAAATCACCCTGGATTTTCTAAGCCTCTGAAAATGAAGGACTGTGTCTAAATATGGCTTTAACTCCTACACAATAAATGTAATACTTCTGTTAAACGTCCTCAATTAAAGCTGAAAATCTGAATTTTAATTGTAACCTGACTATTTAAAATCCATTGTGGGTAGTGTGGAAATCCATCAAATGTTCAGGTTCCATACCAAAGTAAGTGACACAAATTGAAACATCCCTTAAGTTAGATTGCTACAATATTGAAATTTTGTAATGATGTGCATGAACTAAAATGTATCCATCTGTCCAGTATCTTTAGCTACCACCAGCTATTTTAATAAAAATATCATATTCCCTGATGGTTGCATACACCTCATGATGTTTGAAGTCATACAACCCTAAACAGTTGAATGCAAATTCACATTGTGCATACTTCTTGTCATATCAGTAACCCACCAGCAGCACCTCCTTGTGTCTCTAACACAAATATCCACAAAAAGTCACTTAAAGAACGCAATGGAAGACTATACAGCCCCGTCTTACAAAAACAACAAATCCCACAGTCCTTGGCTTAGGCCTGAGGATGCATATCCCCCATTGTTTTTCAGGAAGCTTCCATGCACCCACAACTACGCCCAGATGCACAGTGTAAAGGAGCAGGAGATGATCAGCCCTGTCAATCACAGTGAGGACACCCAGCAAATCATCCAGGGTGAGGAGTACATCGATGACGACCTGGACTCACAGACTCTAGGTAACGCAGGAGGTAGCCCCGCCTTCCGTTCCCTAATAAGGACTACTACTAACCACTGCTACTAAACCCAAGCCACTAACACCAGCAGCTAACACACACCAAGGTACTGAAGGACTTCCCCCTTTTTGTTATTTTTACTGCCACTGCAGTTCTTTGAGGTTTATTATCGTTGCTTCTAAAGTAGTCACATAGCATTTCATGGCCATCAACAAGCACAGCTAATCATATTGCATGACATTCAGTAATTTTTGCACTACATAATGCCTAAGGAATCTGAAATGTTAGTGTTACTGAGTTATACTTGTACACTTGCCAAAATTCTTTTAATTTTATCATACATGACCTGATGTCTCTATATAATAATTTCTATAAATTTTATGACAAGGTTTCTCATAAAATACAGTGCAACAACAAAACAATATGATGGCTATGGTTATGATGGTAATGAATTGATTTGTGATCATAGATATAGTGGATTGTTAATGGCGGTCACCATTAAAGTAATCATTTTTCTTTCCTGACAATAATAAGTGCATTCTTTGTATATTTACATATTAAACTATCTTTGTCACGACTATCATTGTGACAAAAGTAAATCATTCTTAATTTTAAAGCCTGATTGTGTTCTGTTATATAAGATTAGAATTGGGGTTTTTTTACCTCTGTTTCATGTAATAAAGCAAATTGTATAAAAATCCCTGTCAGCATGTAGATCCTGTGAGGGTTTGGTCTACTAGGAGTGCTTAAGAAAGACACTGAGATTAGCAAATTGCAACTGGCCAACTTGGTCCTGTGACTTCTATTTAACAATATAAAGAAATATATATAGGAATTTTACTGATTAGAGCATGTGGAACAACTAATGATTTTTGAAGGAAAAACTTAAACGTAATTTGTGTTTTTATACCCAATTTTGAGCCAGCACGCTGGAATTCTTAATGAAGTCCAGAATTATTCAAACAATTAATCAACCATAGAATTAAATCAAGTTTACTATCCAAGAAGGCAAATTAATTATTACATTGTAATTATATAATTATGTGCTTTACTATTTTTTCTGCTTTTTTGTGAAATGGTGCATTTTGGAAGTTTTGGTGTTATGCGTGAGCCAGAACTGTATGTCACAGGACACCGTCTAATACTATACATTGCTTTATGTCATATATAACACTTTTACATAACTGTAAGTGGGCTTACATATGTGTTTTATGTATATTTTATATGTCTCTTTAGCATCTCTCATATTCTTTTTTATCTCTTTTTTACCAGGCACTCATTCGGGTGTGGTCCTAAACATGAACTGCAGAGAGCTACACAGTTAGCAGACCAGCTGATGGCCACCATGGCAATGCTGAAGAGCTAGTTGAGGCGAGCCGAGCTGGCTAATGAGCACAGGGACTCCACTCTGCCTTTTTCCTTCTCTCGTCTTTAGATTTTCCCTCTCCTCCTCCTCTGTCAGGTCACTTCACTCTTCCATGGACTCTTCCACTCTCCTGCTTCTGGGTATTGTGTTAATTATTTTGGGGAAGTGGCTGACCATGGTGTTGGGACTCTATTCAGTAATCACCCCTTTTTTTGTGCCAGCCCTGGAGACCCTGGACACAAGGGCCAGTGGCTCAGTTTGAAGGCTCATCTGTACACTGTCTGTCTGATAACACAGGTACAATCGGCAAGCATGTCTCACAAGACTGGTTTCCACTGATACTGACAGTCAGAGAGATAGTTGAAACCACCAGAGACTAGTGTGCTAAAATGATTTGTGAGCACTAAACGTAGTTTGCATTGTTCCCCTCCATTATTGTTGCACCCCCCCCCCCCACACACACACACAGTTATCATTCTGCTCCTCTCGTCAATGGCAATAATAATCTCAATGGAATGTAGGATGTGATATAAACCCTTGTGAATTTGCATGTGATGGGTGTACACATGCAAACACAAGAGGGCAGTGTTGCACTTTTTGAAATCTCCACTGACAAGTACTCTTACAGCTCAGCTTCTTTGGAATATACTGTATGTACACACAGCTTTGTTTACTTAACAAAAAGAAAAAGAAAAAAAACATTCATCTCCAAGTGTTCCTGTTTAAAAGTAACAAAATTTACAGATGTGTGGTCTGTGATGTTTCTGATCAGTTTCACCTTTGTCTGTCCCATGGTGCCTGAAACAGCAGACGCAGATCTGCTCAGTGACATTTCCTGTTATTTAGTAATTTCTGGAAACAGTATAGCCCTTTCTCCTTGTCCTCATCCCCGTCCTAACACTTTCTGGGTCAGAGCAGACCCCCTGGAGACAAAGGTTGCCGTCATTGGAGGGAAGCTGTAGTTGATATATTTTATTGTATCAGCCTATATTAGGCAAAGCTTGTGGTGGAATCACGTCTCCTTAAAAGTTTGGTTCATTTTAAATGTGTAAATATGATCGGTGATTTACGCTTTGTAAATATCCCTTTGTGTGTGTGTTTTACACTAATACCAAAATACATCACTTTTTTTACCCCTCTTTTTCTGGAGTTTCCTGCCACAGAGTTTCCCAGGTTTGAACAACATCTCACTGTTTCCACTTTCCTCAGCATCATTGCCTGCTTTACATTTTTGGGTATTTTCATTATAATGTCATGAGTAGGAATATTTCACTGTCTTTATTGTTAACTGGAAAAAAATTTCTTGTCTTATGAAGATGCTCACAGTTACACAGTGACAGCAATGTAGATGGATATTTTTGATATACTGTCAGGTTTTCTTTTCCAGCCCATGTAAAACACAAATGAGTGTTTCTGTTACCTTTTGACAGTCATTTTATGTTTTTTTAATTGAACTAATGTGAGCAGTTGCTGTCACAATGCACCAGACAGCAGCTGAACAAGTCTACAGATGTGTCAAGAGGTCTTGTCACCACCCTTTGGTCCATCTTGTATTCGATGCAGCAGATCGTGTTCACTCCTCCTGGTTTGATTCATCTTTTGTACATATTCTGCTCATATTTTTGTTTAGTTTTCTAGTGATGTGTCATCTTTGTATCAATGTCCCCTTAAACACAGGGGAAAATGGGAGTTATGATGTTCCAGTGTAGTAGTCAAGGAGTTTCACATATGGTACACAGCATATGTGAAACAGCAGTGTAATTATAACCACGACTCTATCCTTTCATTTTTCTCTGTTCTGTTCGATCTTTTGGTTTTGCAATTAAAATCAACTGTGTTCTTTTCAGGAAGCATAGTGCACTCAACCTGCATCATGGAATAAATCACTCCCATAACGTGTATGTCTCTTTAATTTGTATAATATTATCCAGTACAACTGTTGTCACAGTGTTTTGCTAACTAAAAGTCAATCATTGTTTTTTCATGTTGTGAAAAAGGCTGCAGACTGAGGTAGACTTTATTATTTAAAAGGAAGATCCTCTGAAGGTTAGTACAGGATAAACAGGTTAGTACTGATCTAAGTAAGTAAAAAGCAGTGTATGACTGCTGCACAGTGGCCATCTAGTAAAAAGTTACTATAAGGTGTATACTGCCAATGTAGAGGATGGAAATCAGCCTGGACCGCTCGAGCATCACACAAAATACAATGAGGTGACCAAGTTCATGCAATCAAAGTCAGTTAAGATAATGTTGAGCTTCTACCTCCTCTGCCTGGTAAGACTGCTCCCAGAGGTACTTGGGACCTTGACCTTGGGAGTTTGAGGTGGAAGCAAGGCCTGGGTAAAAGCTTTAGAGCTTGAATGCCAGCCAGATAACTGCCGATTCACCTGCCACAAAGCAAGCCCTGTATTGTGCCTATGACAGATTTTACGTGGTTAAGGACATTATACTGATTATTTGAAGAGTTTCAGGTGGATTTTCATCTGAGTGCTTGCAAAGAATGAAATGCTCAAAGGAAATTTGGATCTTGCCGCTCCAATGTAAAATCGTTGGAAAACGAGGTGTGCATGCCTCTAAGTGGAACAGATTTTGGATTATAATGTCAACGCTACAGTGTCAGAGTTTGAATTTTGTGAATAACTTCATAATCTTTGCTCAAACAACTGCAAAACATGTTTGCACAACACGGGTATGTTGAATTCTATAAGGCAAAGCCATAAATATGTGACGACTGTCTATCAAAAGTTACAGCGATTTATATGAAGTTGTTCAAAAACGCTTT